GATGTGCGAATTCCATTTTAGGGATTTGTCTAAAATAAGGCCCAAAAACTTTACGGAATCAACGACGTCAATAGTAGTAGTGTTATTAAGTACAATAGGTTGCATCGTACTTCTATATGATAGAACTTTTGTTTTCGCAGCGTTGAAGCAGAGGAAGTTAGAGTCGCACCATGTTTTAATAGCCAACAAGTCGATGGACATGGTTCTATGAAGAGCTACAATATCCGGGTTGCTCCAAGTGAAACTAGTATCATCAGCAAAAAGACAGATTTTACCGCTGATGTCTAGACTAGCAATATCGTTGATAAACAGCAAAAATAATATTGGACCCAACACGGAACCCTGTGGAACTCCACATTCTATTGGCTTGCATGAAGACGTCGTCGTATCAACCCTCACAAGCTGTTTTCTGTTGTTAAGATACGACTTGAACCATTCCAGAGGAGAGCCTCGAATTCCATAATGCTGCAATTTGTTAATTAGGATATTATGACTTACACAGTCGAATGCTTTAGAAAAATCACAGAAAATTGATGCTGTGGAGTGCAAATTGTTCAAGCTAGAGAAGACATTATTGAAGACAGAGAACATAGCATCAATAGTGCATTTGTTGGTTAAAAATCCAAATTGGTGGATAGTTAGTATATTATATTCTTAGTTCGATACTCGTTACTCCGGGTTATTTGGAAGTAACGAGTAAAAAGTAGTAATGGGTAGATATTAGAGACATCAAAAAAGAATGTATTTTTTATGGACTTGTGCAATTAATAGGAAACGGACCATTTCAATTGGCCAGATACACAAAAGAAAAAATTCTATATTGATAAAAAGTACAAGGAGTTCAAGAGAGCTAGCCAGTAACCATGAGTAAATCATTGGGGCTGAATCGAGGGTTGAACGTAGTTGTTTATTATTTGAAAGCCCAAAACTCTCTTATCATTCCTTTTCATCCTGTATGGACATCAAACATAGAAACATTCAATTAATAAAAATACAGCTCATACCAAAATATATTATAATATGATTAAAACTCGACTAAAAATCTTTCACACTCCAAAACAATACCTTAACAATACTGAAAATACCATGATATTACATGCAGTTCTATGCAAATACCTTACAGTACCAGACCTTATACTGACAGCACCTGACAGTACCTTACAGTTTCTATGCTTACAGCAGTGGAGCTTACACTGTCAGTAGCTTGCAGTACCAGGCATTGCACTGACAGTGCCATACTTTTCACTCTTATGGTTCATTTACATTCACTTCAAAGTCCAATTTGTCTTGAAATTGACGTGCTTGCCACAGATTCATTTCCATTGAAATAAATTTGAAGTTCACTTCGAAGTGCACTTTAAATTTGGGCGAGCTGCTTGCCGAGGGCAAGCAGAAACTTGTGAAATGTCAAATTTTTAAATTATCCATTTGATTCTCATAAAATTCTGACGTTTTGACTTGACGTTTTTGTTCTGCAATGTAAATGATAAAATATCAAACATCAAATTTAACTTGAAGTTGGAAGTGAATGTAAATGCTCCTTTAAAACACGTTCAAACGTCAGAATTTTAATTAGAAATATCAAAAAGCAGGAATACCCCAGGGAAATTAGACTTCCTCTGCGGAATGAGGCCGAACAAGCTGAATTTTTGCAGAGAACTTTGTTTTGATGTTCTAATGAAGCACAAAAAAATCGAATATGTCTACCCTTGTGCCTCTTGAGATATCGAAGGTTAAGGTCACGAAAATCGTTTTTTCCTACGAGCGTGCGCAAAGTAGTACTTTTCCGCACGCATTTCCGGGCTCAAAGTTACACTTTTCCGCACTCAGTGCGGATACAGGCCTTATCCGCACTGAGTGCCGAAAAGTAATTATAATTGTCAAGCAACAATAAGTGCACCTGTCGACTTTGACACATGATGACAAATTTTTCCTCTATTTCTATATCAGCCAACATCTATACAAACACCAATTATAAATTAACTTTGACACATCAGATTTGTTCTCTATTTATATGCAAAAATCTACAAACTTTCTCATCAAATTTAAACGCTTCAAGATGAACAGCTCTGACGAGGATTTTCTGTTATTTTTTTTTGTTATGTAATTTTTTGATAAATGCATAGGTTCCCTTCAAGTTAATTAAAAATAATTAAACAAATTATCGGTTTTTTTTTCAAATTTTTGTTATTACCTACCTGATATGAAGCTCGTAGGAAAAATTTTGTTCCTAACACGTGCGCAAAGTGTCTTTTCCGCACGCAAACACGTATCCGAACTCCGCTTCGCGTCGTTCGTATAACTGTGTTTGCGTGCGGAAAAGTAACACTTTGCGCACTTGTTAGGAAAATAACTATTTCCTACAGCCGTGCGGAAAAATCGATTTTCCGCACTGATATGCGTGCGGAAAATGAGTTTTCCCGCACGGTACGGTAAAACTTTTTTTTTTGACATATCAGTGCGGAAAAAGTTTTTCCGCACGGCTGTCAGTGCGGAAAAAATTTTACCGCACTGATATGTCAAAAAAAAAAAGAAAAATTTTACATTTTTTCGCCTGTAGGAAAAATATTGTACCTAACACTTGCGGAAAATATTTTTTCCTACAGCCGTGCGGAAAAATCGATTTTCCGCACTGATATGCGTGCGGAAAAAGTTTTTTCGCACGGCTGTCAGTGCGGAAAAAATTTTACCGCACTGATATGTCAAAAAAAAAAAAGAAAATTTTCACATTTTTTCCCCTGTAGGAAAAATATTGTACCTAACACTTGCGGAAAATATTTTTAGAGGAACCATAGAGAAGTAATTTGAGACAGGACACCGATGGTCGGAAGTGCGTCGTTTCCAAAATAAATAGTTACAGGGTGTTGAAATTTAAACAACCCCCTTTCATATCATCTGAAGGGCTAATGCTAGACTGTTCAAATTTTCAGGGATTATTGATGTAGGAATGATATTTAAAAATCCGTATAATGCACCCCCATTTTCTACCTGGAACCACCCCAAAAAAAAAAATAATTTGAAACAAAATGTTTTTTTTTTCAATTTTTTTTTTTTATTTTTTTTTTTTTGGGATGGTTCCAGGTAGAAAATCTGGGTGCATTATACGAATTTTTAAATATCATTCCTACATCAATTATCCCTGAAAATTTGAACAGTCTAGCATTAGCCCTTCAGATGATATGAAAGGGGGTTCTTTAAATTTCAACACCCTGTAAGTATTTTGGAAACGACGTACTTCCGACCATCGGTGTCCTGTCTCAAATTACTTCTCTATGGTTCCTATATATACCCTATCATTTTTGACCAGTTGAACGGGGACACCCTGTATAATACAGTATCACTTATTTTGAATGCGCACTCCCTCTTTATCACGCTATATTTCGAAAACGGTTGGTCGTACAAAAAAATGTGTATAAACAATTTTGTAGACAATACTATTTTACGTAAGTTTTGCTTTGGATTCTTCGACGTCAGATGCACTGGCGAAATTTTCGCAAAAAAAACGATTTTCGTGACCTTAAAAACAATTTGGTTCAAATTTTATTTTTTTTTGGGGTGGTTTAAGGTAGAAAATTGGGGTGCATTATACGAATTTTTAAATATCATTCCTACATCAATAATCCTTGAAAATTTGAACAGCCTAGCATTAGCCCTCCGGATGATATGAAAGGGGGTTGTTTGAATTTCAACACCCTGTATTTTGGAAACGATGCACTTCCGACCATCGGTGTCCTATTTCAAATTACTTCTCTATGGTTCCTCTATATACTCTAGCATTATTGACCAGTTGCACGGGGACACCCTGTATAATAAAGTATCACCTATTTTGAATGCTTGGTTCCGCTTTATCACACTATATTTCGAAAACGGTTGGTCGTACAAAAAAATGTATATGAACAATTTTGTAGGAAATACTATTTTACGTAAGTTTTGCTTTGGGTTCTTCGACGTCAGATGCACTGGAAGCGAAATTTTCGCAAAAAAAACGATTTTCGTGACCTTTGACCTTCGATGTCTCAAGACCCACAAGGGTAGGCATATTCGATTTTTTTGTACTTCATTAGAACATCAAAATGAAGGTCTCTGCAAAAATTCAGCTTGCTCGGCCTCATTCCGCAGAGTGCCATTTTTTTGGTCTAATTTCCCTGGGGTAGAATATGTATTTGGGAAATAACGATTTTTTATCCGTCCTTTTTTAAACATTTGTTAGAATTTTCGGTTGTTTGTGAAAAGTTCTGCATATTTCCATTGTTCGTCTTTGTCCATTGAAACTTGAAAGTCGCCAAAAAGAATTAATTTTTTCTTCGAACATTGAATTCATGCTTGCTCGATATTGAACTGATTAGTAATACAAATTCTACACACCTCGTGGATTCTAAACCGGAATCCACGGCCTATCAACCAATCAAATTCTCCGTATCAAAAAGTTCGAAGAGAAAATATAGTCATCCACTCGCAAATAATGGCTATTATATGCTCGTTGAAGAATATACTATTGATCTGAAAAACGCATTTCCCAATTCTTGGTCTAACCTATCAATAGTGAGCTAAAAACACAATACAGTCGAAGATAACAAAAGTATGAAAGTTCTGAGAGCCTGACAATCAAAACAATATAAAGACTGAATAAAACAAGAACCGAAGAAACTGCAATCAGACTTGTGCTCTTCTAATAATGCGATATAATAATATATTTGCAGATTAAAAATTGAGAATGTAAGTTTAGAAGAAGCCTAGAAAATGAGGGTACATGCTGGATAGTGTATACCAATTGACAGGTAGAAGAATCCTGGACTAATGGCAAAATACTGATCTCCTAACAAAAAATGATAAAAAATTAAAAATTAAAATACAAGTGAAAAAGAAAAATACCAGGCGAAAACAATTACAAACATCGCTACATTCAACTATACAATGAAGATACTAATCCTTAAAGTGTTAAAATGCCAGACATTTATTTTGGAATATTTTTCTAAAATGTTTTTTTTGTTTTGTTTCAGGAGTCTGAGTCCGTGGACCACGAAGGCGTGGGCCATGGCGTGGAGTGCCTCGGTGGGCGCCCGCACCAGCCCGCAGGGCCCTTCCACTATCTCATCAGCGAACAGGCCAAGTCGCTGGTCGCGCTGCAGGAATTGCAGCACGAGGTCGGCGCCCTGCTCGAGTTCCGAGATCTGGTCATGGACACGTTTCCCAACTTGCGTACCAAGTTGCACCAACAACAGACCGCTCATTCGACACCTGCCACCATGACAGGTAATTTCTTTCTTATATTTCGTTGAAAAAAACATCCAACGCATATTTTGCAGGACACCATCACGTTCACCACTCCAACATTCCTATTTCCATCCGGCCCGGTGATTGGACGCCGGGCGTCAGGGTGCGGAAAAAATTGGGCATTTCTAGCGGCGGGAAAGAGAAAAGAGACTCGGCGATTACCGTACAGGATTCTGGATTTAGCACGGAGGCATCTAGCAAAGAGACACACAGCGCCTCTTCTACTGTGCCACCAACTTCAACCTCAGCGACAGGTGAGAATTTCAGATTCATTAATTTATAATTCAATAATTTTAATTGCTTCATTCCTTGATTTAGTGGTTTCCCAACCTGTTTTATTGGTGTACCTACAACCAAAAACGTTATCTAATTATAATCTGATTGCAGTCTTATGAAAATTTCGGTAATTTTTCTTGTTATGTACGCACGCCAATGAACTACCTATAATAAGTGTGTTCTGACACATTTTACTGATTCTAAAACAGTCTATAGATTCTTAGGAAGTGCAGTATTTTTTGAGGCTGGTTTCTCAAGCCAAATTTGTCCTGGTTCAAAATTTGCCAATATTCATTTTACCATGATAATTCAATGAGTTGTTGATCTGATTCCGTACAATGTTTTGGTTGTTGAATGTTCTAACCCAGTGCCATTTTTTCAGGTACTAGTGAGACTGATGAAACTGATGATGAACTATGGAACCTGCTAGACATCATCCACAGAAAAGGTACCCGATTAAAAGACGAAGTCGAAGCCCTTCAGGGTACTCTGAGAGATCAAACTCCTTTCGGTGATTCGGGAAATAACTTTCGAAGAGCTCTGTTTCACTCTTCCGCCGACGATGTCAGACAGATTAGGCACGAGAGAGATTTCTTATTGGAAAAGTAAGTACATATTCCTAAATCGGTAACGTTCATTTCTAGAATTCCACTTTAATCCTTAATTACACAAAAGATTAAGGTCAATGTAGAAAATGTGTAACGAATTATGTTTCATTCAATGCGATTAGTCGTGAAACACCTTTATTATTGATTTTCTGACTAATCCATCTATTATTATTTGCGCTCCAGGCTTGAAAATGAGACGTTCAAGCAAACGTTTCACTTTTGAAAATCTCAAATTGCCCCCTCGAGTAGGCAAATTGCTGCATTTAGATTTTGTAAAGAGCACAGCTGCCGAAGCCAAACAAAATTGTTGACTTTAAGATAGCTCATTACTTTGCTAATTAGATATAAGTGGAAAAATGAACGGAGATGAGAGTTTTCTCTTTGAAATTGGATGGTTTCAATTTTGAATACACAATATACAGTATGTTAGGAAAGACTTACCTTAATAAACAACTTGTTACCAAGTTTTCTGTTGTTTAATAGAATGCAAATGATTTTTATTCAGGTTTTGAAAATCTCTGTAACAAGAACTACTTAAATTTTGAAAATGTGTCTTAACAAAAATACTACACACGGAGTTGGGTTTATAGTTTAGTAATCAGTCCAATGAGACCTAATTTTCAAATAAAAATTTCATGACTTAAAAACTTCAGTAACATGAGTGTATAGTCATTGAAATTTTCCACTAAAAATCCAGATCAGTTATTTCACAATGCAATAAATGCATTATAAAAAATTAAAGGATAGTGACTTCGTAAAAGGTCAGATCTTAGGTCGGTCTTTGACATAATAATAATAGTATGCATACACACTACCATGTTATTAGATTAAAGCCGCAATACGAGTGCAATGACTTTTAAATGTTGTTCTATTTTTATTATCATCAATGCAGTGGTACAGCAGCAGCTCATTGTAATGAATTTTCCCATCATTTTTTTTCCCGCCAATTTATATATAGGTTTACGCTTTTTGATCTAATAACGACATAAATGTAACGACATGTTTTACATACAAGTAGACAATTTAATGAGATACGCCATTAATGGAATAAATAATTACTCTAGCCAGTGTTTGTATGGTATGTTAGCTGCTTTTTAAGGTTTTTCGCATTAAAGATGTTGCAGCACAAGGAAATTGTCTAGAGGCTAGGGCCGGTGCATACCTTTGAAGGAATTTTCAAATTAAAACGTGATTAGGTATTTTGTTTTACTGGAGCCTATTTTAAATCTTTATGAACGATACCCGCAAAATCTTCCATAATAAATCATGTAGAAGATGAAACGCATCTTTTATGTACACAATTTATAAATCTAGAGAAATTAAAACTGGTCACGGACAGTTGGGAAATTCGATATACCTATAGGTAATTTGAGTGGCTGATTTAATGCCCCATTGCTTTGAAAGTTGATAAGGCATAAAAACAAATTTTCAATCAAGCAATTTAAATAAACTGACAATTCTAGGTTGGCAGAAATGGAAGCGGAAGTGCACGCCGGCAGGCTTCACACGTCGCGCCTCCAAGAGGACCTGGAAAACCTGCTCTGCGCGAAAAACGATCTCGAAGAACAACTCAAAGCGATCGTGTCGGAACGCGGGGAGGTCAATTCGCGTATCCACGACCTTCATCTTCAGTTCGTGGCCAAAAGTGCGAGTGACGAAAAACTGAAACTAGTGAGTGATCGGAAAGATTCTAGTCAAACGCAACCGGTGTGGACTACAACGACGAGACGGTATTCGGGTAGTGATTTGGACGGTGTTCTAGGCGATCGGATACCGAAAATAGCCGTGCCGGATATCAAGAAGATTTCGGCTATTTTGAGGGAACACGATCCGGTTGTTTTGCAAAAGCACCTTTTGGTTTCTACGGTTCAGAATCAGGTAAGGATTTTACATTGTTTAAGATTAATTTATATACTCGAGGTTGGAGTTTTATACTGAAGATTATTCCACTGTTAAGATATCTATTACATGTTAAAATTGTCTGTCAGAATAATGTATCTAATGTTAGACATAAATAACATGAAAAAATTGTGCGTTGTAAAAACCATAAATAGTCATTTATAGAGTAAATTTTTTTTTTTACAAAGAAATCACCTTTTTTGAAGAGCAGAACTCTCAACTTACTAAATATTCCATTTCTCTGAAATTTCCGAAATAAAAATTGAATAATCTTTTCCTCGATCTTTTTAGTGTTGAAGGAATGATAGCCTCTTTCCACAATCTCATTTGTAGGTTCATCTCTCGGTTCATCTTCTTCAATTTCAGATTGCCAGATTGTTGATTGCTTGCAAATTTTTCAATTTCTGGCATATCATCAAAAAAAATTTCTATCGAGTTTTCAATTTTTCACTAAATTATTGATTTGTTTCCCCTACGTCTGGATCTTTCTTTGAACCGCGTAGGTCATGATAGAGGCTTTCCAAAACTGAAGGTATTTGGTTTTTTCGCATTTCGGGAGTGAGGCTTAAGATAGGTAAATACTCTTCACAGCTTGGGCGGTAAAAGATCGGTACCTAATAATAATATCATAGATAAGCCAAGTTATCCCATCTGTGATAAAATAATGGTACTGAAAAAGTCAAGGAGGTTCTTTGGAATTAAAACTAATAATATAAAAACGAGGTATTTTTCTTGGATTTTCTTATTTATCTTCCGCTAAAATAAACAGGGTGAGTTACTAAGCGCGCGGTGATCCATATCTCCCGAGATATCTCCTATACTAACAGAGATCGAAGAAAAAATTTATCACAAAACTTGTAGATAAACATAAGTACTACATTCCTAAATTATTTTCCAGTATACAGGGTGGCCCAATAACTAGTAGAGATACAAAGTTATGTTTTTTTAAATAACTCTCCCTGTATATTATGACAGTTCTGGATTCTGCGGAAAATTCTAGATATAGTATTTGTAGTACCCATTTAGAATAACCTCATCCTTATTTATCAATCATGAATCAGATGAAACAAAAAATTACCAACAAAAACGAATGTCGATTGCTAATACGTCAATTTCATGTACAAATAGGAAATTCCTAACCTACTTTTATTTGTGTGTCAAGAAGCGACATACGTTTTGTCACTAAAACGACAGGTACTTCTAAATGGGTATTAAAAATTATATATATTTTATCTATAATGTCATAAACTTACCTATCTTCAACTGTTTCGGAAATATTGACAGTTGAAAGTTGACTTTTTTGCATCTTTGACAGACTGTAAAACCTGAATGATTAATTTTACAAGAAAACGGAGTTTACATTCCTGTCTCAGTTTTTCATAAACTATCATTTGACACCAACTTTGAATTTAATCGAAGATTAATAATTTAGGCGGAATTTTTAATCATGGATTAATTACAAAGTTGGTGTCAAATGATAGTTTATGAAAAACTAAGATAGGAATGAAAATCCGTTCTCTTGTAAACTTAACCGTTCAGGTTTTACAGTCTGTCAAAGATGCAAAAAAGTCAATTTTCAACTGTCAATATTTCCGAAACAGTTGAAGATAGGTATATGACATTGTACATAAAATATGAGAATTTTTCGCAGAATCTAGAAATGTCATAATATACAAAAGGAGTCATTTAAAGAAAACATAACTTTGTATCACTACTAGTTATTGGGCCACCCTGTATAATAGAAAATAATTTAGGAATGTAGTATAGTCCAACACATACCATTTTAAAGTCAAGTGATTTTTCTCTATCCTTGTTGAATACATTTCAAACAGCGGTGATAGTAAAATTGACAAAAAAAATTGCTGTCTAATTATTGTTCATAAAATTCTTACCTGAAATAGAATCCGTCACTGTCATCAATTAGTTTGTCAAAGTTATTTTAGAAAATGATACAACGAACAAACACAGCTAATAATTTTGACTATATTAACCTTTTTCCAACTCAAAAAGATGCAAATAGAAAACAGGTACCCAATTCAAGTTCAGAATGTATTACAAGGGGCAGCAAAAGCGACAAAAGTGAGTCTCGCAACAATTGCAAGTATTAAAATTGTCATCTGATTGGTCAATACTACTTCAGAAACGCGTTTGTAAAATGCTAGTGGGAACATATCTTAAAATTCAATAGTAATTAACCACAAGTAGCTTTTTGTAGGTGATATCAACGAACATAGGTTTTTTGCCACCAATATCACGTGACTTTTAAATGGTATTTGTCGGACTATACTCATAGTCCAAGAGCCTAGAGCCGCCAGACACAACTTATTTTCTAAAGGACAGAATATGTGGGATTGTGTAGCACTTATACAGGGTGGGGATTTTAACTGGAACTAATTCGCTAGAGCCTTCGAATAAAATAGGTGGACAAAACGCAAAAACACGTCGATCAAGATTTTTTGCTTAAGTTTTTTTCACATTAATTTTTTTATACAGGGTGTTCCAAGAACAGCTGTACGGTTGTCAACTTTATTTTTCCAAATGGTAGCCCCTGTATATTATGACATTTCTGGATTCTGCAGAAAATTCTAGACATATTTCATTCACAATGTCATATACCTATCTTCAACTGTTTCGGAAATATTGACATTTGAAAATGGACTTTTTTGCAACTTTGACAGGCTGTAAAACCCTAACGGTTAATTTTAGAGGAAGACCGATTTCACATTCCTATCTTAGATTTTCATAGGCTATCATTTGACACCAACTTTGAATTTAATCCATGATTAAAAATTCCAGTTAAATTTAATCTCCAGTTAAATTCAAAGTTAGTGTCAAATGATAGTTTATGAAAATCTCAGGCAGGAATGTAAAACTGGTTTTCCTCTAAAATTAACCGTTTAGGTTTTACAGCCTGTTAACGTTGCAAAAAAGTCAATTTTCAACTGTCAATATTTCCGAAACAGTTGAAGATAGGTATATAACATTGTACATGAAATATGTCTAGAATTTTCAGCAGAATCCAGAAATGTCATAATATACAGGGGCTACCATTTGGAAAAATAAAGTTGATAACCGTACAGCTGTTCTTGGAACACCCTGTATAAAACAATTGATATGGAAAAATTTCAAAAAAAAAATCTTGATCGACGTGTTTTTGCGTTTTGTCCACATATTTTATCCGAAGGCTCTAGCGAATTAGTTCCAGTTAAAGTCCCCACCCTGTATGTACTATGAACGTATGTATACCCGCTAAGTTGGGTAGACGGCCAATTTACCGACACCAGGTGCGAAAGCTTAAGAAGTACTTTAACTTTTTTTCTAACGCTTGATTTTTATACATGTTATTGGGGAGACTATTTCATAACTACGTGTGCTCAGCCAGACCAATCGCACTGGCCAAACATCCCCCCAGACGCAATAATAGTTTTTCCGTGAGTGTGAGCGCGAGGGTACTATGCATGCGTTTGAGAGTGAGCGAGATATCTATTTCCCCCTCTTAAACTTACATTCTACTCCAGGCTAGAGTAGAAATGGGATTCGGTTTTTCCCATAATGGGAAAAACCATTATTTACAAATAACAGTCAACTGTCTACCCAACTTAGCGAGTATACATACGTTCATAGTACCTATAAGTGCTACTCAATGCCACATATTCTGTCCTATAGAAAATAAGTTGTGTCTGGCGGCTCTGGGCTCTTGGACCATCATGTTTATCTACAAGATTTGTATTTAATTTTTTCTTCGATCTCCGTTAGTATAGGAGATATGGACCAACGCGAGCTTAGTTACTCATCCTGTATATCATATTATAAAATTATATTATTTGTATGTGAATACATTACATCACAACACAAATCAATCAAACTTCACAACATGTCTTAATGTTTCAAGTGTACCCCGTAAGTCAATTTTTTCTTCTGCCAAGTCTTCCACAATCGCATTAATCTGTCGATCGAGATTGGAAATATTGGAATATTTTCTGGATCTTTTAGAAGTACTCATGTGTAAACTTGCTTGTTTTTCAGCTACACTCTAAAATCTTATTTTCTCTTCAATAACTCGTAAATATTTGGATTGGCTTCTCCTATTCTTTCATTTAGTCTGTTGTGCCAGCCCTCTACTGTATTGGTGGTCCTATGTCTCTCTTTGTAGATTACCCATAACAAACCATTGTCCAACCACTGATCAACAAAATAATCATGGAATTTATCTAAGAGTGGGTCATTCGGCGCATTCTCCATTATAATAAGCCATGCATCTTGTAATGTTTCTTCTGGCAAATAAGCAAGGGCATTCGGATATGATTTCTGATACATTGATTATCTCTGTACCAGGTAATTGTCTATATTTTGCATCCACACCTATCCCACCTGTCTGAAGAGATACTATAAGAAATGTCAAATGTGAAAGTTGTAGGGGATACCAGAAATTTTTCAATAAAGTTAGTTACAATACAGGATGTGTCACCAAAGTGTATTAAAGGAAAGTTAAACTTTTCTAAATGGAATACCCCGTTATTATTGACCTATTGGATTACCCTTTCAAACCTGATTCCAAATATACTAGGTTTATTCCTACTAGTCCGGGAGAAAATAAGAAAAAAAGGGATGGAATAATTGCATTTTTATTGGAAAAGATGAAGTGAAGTATACAGGGTGCTACAAATTGGAGTGTATGCATGGGGATATCGGAAACCGTAAGAGATACGAGGTTGGTTAAATTATGAAAATGACAATGATGAAGTGACATTTATTTTGAAATTGCTCTTCAAATAGACTGGAAAAGATGAAGTGAAGTATACAGGGTGCTACAAATTGGAGTGTATGCATGGGGATATCGGAAACCGTAAGAGATACGAGGTTGGTTAAATTATGAAAATGACAATAATGAAGTGACATTTATTTTGAAATTGCTCTTCAAATAGACTCAGAAAAAAATAAAAATGAATTTGCAAAATTTCGGTTTTTTCCAAATATTT